AATTAGATATACTTTCGTTCTACGTTACTCCCAATTGGTATTTTATATTGGCTAAGTAGTGTGAAGAAATGGATTTATAAAGAAACAATCCGAATGCCCGAATGTAACCAAATGTACAAGAACTTGCTATAATTTATTAATAAAAAAAGAAATAGACTTGAAATAACACAACACGGAGACTTGAGTTTAAAGCTCAGTAAGTTAGAATTTGTATTGAAATTTATGGGGGGCATGACATTTTAAGAAACCTCACTGGCGTAGAGCATTTATTAAAAAAATAAAGAAATAATAATTTGATTGGGTATCAAAGCAAGCAGGGTTAGTTGTTTTTTCTATTGTTCACAGCTTGTTTCAACAATCAGATTACAATTTCAATCTGTAAGTTGAAAGTGGGTATTGAAATTCAAAACAAAGGATAAAAAAGTAAGAAAAACAAAAAAGATTAAATAAATGAATAAAAGATAAATAATAATAATAATAATAATAATAAATACCAATTATAAGTAACTTGTGAGGAACATTTTAAGCAGAGTTAGTGATCAATTTTTAATAAATTACAATTGGACGCACAATAAATACGCTTGGACGCACTCGTATAGATACGTTTTCAGAAAAAGATTGTTTGAAAAAGTTTACCTACAACAAAGTAGTTGAAATAACTTGTATTAAAAATGCTTATTTTGTATGTAATAATTTAATTAAGTGATTTTCAATTAGACTCGCAGATTTTTAAATAATTTTTGCTCTTCAATTTTATCATTACAAAAGAACGGTATAAGCCATTTCAGTAATATAATCTGTTTGTTGTCTCATTTATTTCTGTTTCCCTATTAATTATTTATGCTTGATAAAAATCTTCATGATGTATGTAACTTATATAATTTCAAAATATCATTGGAAACACTTGACACTAAACTTAGAATATAACCATAGCATTTGAAATGCAGCTCAGTTTAATGTTATATACTGAAAGAACAAAAGCTATGTAATCTTTCTTAGATTCAAAAAGATCTATCATGACAAAATTTCATTTTGTAATTAAACTACTGCATGTAAACAATTAAATGTAAACCATTATGAGTGGAAAGTGTAGAAATTGAAAATTGTACAAAAATTTTTACCCAAATATTGTTAATTTATATAAATAATGATATATATATATATATATATATATATATACATATATATTAAATTTTTAATATAATGTCCGAGCATGACTGGTCATTAATTTTTGATGAAAATGTACGGATTTTGCTTTAATCATATATCACTAGCAAAATCAAAAATTAAAATAGAAATTCCATTTTAGGCGATTATAAATAATGATAACTGAAAATTATGCCGTTTAGTCATTTTCAAATTGTATGCTAATCATTACATCTTATAATGTTATATCAAATATAGTATTCTTTAACACAGATGAACACAAGATACTAAAATAATTACTTCAACTTATGACTTTGTAAATCACCAGACATGAATAGAGATTTATTTAATTTGATATTCTTTCTTCTTATTTTCCATTAAAGATTGTGATATTTTTTTATTTGAATATACTTGAACTATTTATGTTTTTATGCAGTTTCAAGTAATTACTGAAACATTTCAACAATAAAAAACCAAGCACAAGTTTTGTAATTAGTTCGAGTGATTGATTAGAAAAATTACGTATAGCTGGCCTTTCAAGAATTTTATATCCATAATCCAAAAGATGTATGTATAATGCATGTGTGTGGCTACATATAAACATACATACATAAATACACATAATATAAATATACAAGGAAAATATTTCGTTTTTATACAACAAAAATTAACATAAAATGTTATTGATTGCCAATATGATACATTTAAATGAGCATAAATTATAAATTAATGTCTTGAATTTAACTCAAACTAAATAGAATATGTTGAGCTATCCACAGAAACTGCTAAACCATAGCCCATTTATTTCATCTAACAAACTGATAAAATAAATATGCAAAATCATTAAATCAAAATCATTTAGCCTTATATGATACAACATATATCACAGCATGTTACTTTTTGTTGCATAATTCGTTAATTCCATTGGTATACACATCTTATTAATATTCTTGTACACCATTTTGTTATTGTAACACATAATAGTAATAAAGCATTGTGTTAATAATATTTTCCCCAAGTAGCTTCATGGTACATATGGATATTCAATAAAAATGATATGATGATAAATGCAAAAGTTTATGAAACCATTCAAATAATACCACAAGTAAAAAACTTGAGTAGTATTCTACTAAATATCTCTTTATAATGTAACAAAATATAGATTGCATTAGATTTTTTTGTAATCTAATGATAGATATTATAAAATTCGAAATTTCGTGATTGTGTAAACTTTCATTACATATCTATAAAAAAAAACATTTATGGAAAAGTAAAAAAAAAATTAAATCACTTACCAGACTGTGATTTGTTCATACTGTCTTCAATAGAAATTTCACTTTTAACGTTCATAACCAAGTCATCATCTGAAAAATCAAAGATATTAGATTAAGTGAAATTTATTTATTGATATAATGTAAAATACAAAATTATTTAAGGTTGTATCACAAATGTAAATTCTAAATTAATGTTTAAAATATACAAAAAATAACAAACCGTTTGCACCATTGCTGTATCTGCTATCAGGGGAGTCCATTTCAGAAAAAATTATTGGTATCGTTCAAAGGATCTTGTAATTCAGAAGTATTTGTTTTAGCATCAGTATTCAGGGATGTGGATTCTTGCTCTTCTTGATAGGGTACTGTTTCTTCTTTCACAACATTATTCAAGTGATGGTTAGTATTACTTGTACTGCAATCTTCATCAGATTTCGTTGCAGTGTCAGAAAGATTTTTGAGTGCTGAATCTGCACCAGATAGACCTAACAAAATGTATATCATATATAAGTATAAGTTTTTGATAAAGATTTGTGATACTATATAACTAATTTATTTAATTTAGGAAGAGGAATTTATGAAAATATTGAAACAAAAACTATTTTTATTCAAGCATAATATTTAATTATTAATTAGATCGATAGTTAACAAACAATCAAAATAGTTCCAATTCAAATAGAACTAACCTCTTATCTGCAGTGTCTCTGCACATTTTAAAAGATCTTGTAGCCCTTCTTGTGTAACATTTACTTCCCCCTTATACATGAAATCAACCAACGCTTGTAATTCCCAAAACCTAACATCTTTCAAAATTATAATTGGATGCTGGCAAGGATTTTCTCCCAGTAGACTTTCAAAAAATCCAGAACAAGCGGCCAAAACTAACCTATGACAAGTTAGTTGACGTCCTTCACATGCTAATGTACAATCGACAAACCGACCACCAGCCAAAAGCTAAAACAAGAATGTAACAATATTATGGAAAATCGCATTTCAATTATTGGAATAAATAACTATACATATCAAAAACTTGAATAAAATTTTTTAATTAGTTAAGTTTAAAATTCTGTTAAATGTGAAATAATATTTATGATAATGTAAAATAAAAAATGGTAAATTAAAAACCGAAAAAGAAATTGTAATTGAGTGTCATCAACTAAACACATATCCTATTATGCTTACATACATTAAAAAAAAGTAAATAATATTTTCAAATTTAAAATTTATTCAGCAAATACTTATAGACTATTACAATTTTCGCATCTAGGACTTTTCATTATATGCTTCAAGTTATTGTCACAACATTTTAGTTTTATTATTCTATAGTATATAATATATACAAAAAAGCAAGTATAAAAAAAGTAAATTACATAAAAATGATCAAACAGTAGGTGCATAGATATATACTTATAAAAATAACTTACCTGAGGAAAAGCTGCACCCAGACTTCCTAAATGACTGTTCCAACGAACACAGAATTGTTGTGATGCAGCCATAATTGTTTATAATGTTGCCAAAACTTCAAATATTTAATAAAATACAATGTTTAAAGAAGAGAGGTCAATGAATTAAAAAACAGTTCATTATAAAATTCACAAAAGCCCTGAGTATATTTTGTTAATTAATTTTACCAGTTTTTTCATATTCTGAAATAAAAAATAAAACATATTAGTTAAAAGAAGCACATACATTCAAACTCATGTACACTGAATGAATTAAGAAAATGGAAGAAGCTTTACGGAGTTGTTAATTGATGGAGGGTCATTAAAAATATATTTCCCCCACTAACAGAATATAAATAAATATAAATGCAGATACAAACTATTTCTATTTATAAAATCACATGGTCTAACAAACTAATACAATTTTAGAAAATATGCACGACATTAAACGTACCTAACATGTAAAAATTTATTACAACAATGTAATGGTAGTTTATACAAAATACTAACAAAAATCAATAGTTGAACCGAGCCATAATTTGTATAACAAATATATAACGTTACGAGCTACGACCTACGTTCTTAACTTATAGGCAGAGCGTCATAGAAATATGACAAAGAAAAAAATGAACGTATGTCGTAAATCGATACTATTACACTAGCGCGATTCGATGAGAAATTAAAGAACTTTTACTGAAAATTTTATTTATATAACTACGCTTTCTAAATTTATAGATAATTTTACATAAATTATTGTTTTACTTACTTTTCTTCTAAACGATAAGCACACAATCTTAAATAATATACCAAACACAACACTCACGCTATGACGCCATTTGCACTGAAAAAGTGTATTAATCAGTGTTGCCGTTTTTAAGTTTTAATTCATAGTCGGAGGTGGTCCGCCAGCGGCTCTTGGGCCAGTTTAGGCACAAAATATTAATTCGTCAGAAATTAACTATGTGCAATTTACCAAGAATTTATCGTATTCTAATGTTGTCTAGGCAATTAACATTGATTGGCATTAACAAAATATAAAAAAGTAATTTTTAATGTGCAAAACAGTAAAAATCTAAACAACTTTTTATAGTACTTAAAAATACCATTTACCGTTTATATAATAATGTAAAACGAAAGATAAAACAAAAGTATGTGTAAATCTATGAGCGATTAAGGCTTATTTTATAAATGGATATTAAAATGTTAAATATTGTTGTCTATTTTGCCTCATTCTGAATATTGTATGCAATTTAATGTTTATATTTATATGTATATTTATTCAGCAAAGGTTTATTTTGATATGAATGAAAAATATGTTATCTCAATGTTAATTTATTCAAAATATTTACACATTCAAAATTGATTCAAAACAAAGCTTAGATATATAATTTGAATTTTTATTATATTTATATTTTATTATTATCATTTTATTTTTGGACATCTAATAATTTAATAGAAATAATTGTGTTCTTATTTTTCGAATATATCAAATATCGAAATAATAAAATTAAGTAGAAGTTAAAAGTTATTAATTTCTATCTTTTAACCATAGATACAGGAAGAGTATAATGCTTTTAACGGTCTTCTATCATCATCAGTAGCCATATCTATGGTTTATAATTCAGCCCGTGCTGACAGTTTATTTGTCGACCTCTGAAGGAAAATTAGTAGACAACTACCAAACGATATTCGGAATTTACCAAAACGCAGCGTTCTTCGACACTACCTTTCAAATAATAATAACATAAGTCTTTAATAAGTGTTAATAATGTGGTAGTAGCGTTTATGGTAATACGTTTTATTATAATCATAAGTATATAAATCTGGCGTATATCAAGATAAAAATAAAATCTTAACCTCTCTGCATATAGTCGAGCAGTATTTAAATAGTATTGTTAAATTTTGTCAATCTCGCAGAGATTTACAGTGACGTATTATTGGTGTTAATGGTGTAAAAGAGGCCGTTTATTTGAATTAAGAATGGTGCCCATGGGCCCATCACCTGTACATACAGGCCATCAAATTCATGCAAATCAGCCAGCAGCTAATGCAAATCAATCTTCGCTATCAATTCAAAGTAGTGGTAACAACAAAACTGGTGGAGCGGTTAGTACATTACTTACTGTAAATATAACTTACTTGAAGAATTTTATAATAGTTCTGTTTTACAAAAAAAGGTTCTGAATATCAGTGTATTCGACATTCTATATTCATTAAACTTTTACTTTTACTAATGCTAATATGTTATTCTTTGATTATCACACTACACAAAATCTTTTGCACTGAATATATTATCGAACCATTTTTAGAAACCAAATTATACGCTGAAGTTTACCTTGGCAGGACATACGAAGGCGGTGTCTTCTGTGAAATTTAGCCCGAATGGCGAATGGCTTGCTAGCTCATGTAAGTAATATTCATAACAAGAAGTTTTACATACAGATGTTATCAAATTCAGAGTTCTTAAATTATTTTCATTGTTGATATATGAGCATCTTGGTTCTTACAATCATTTTAAATTCAATATTTAACACTCAATAAAAAACTTGAAGTAGTAATTCAAACTCAGGCACATAAAAACAATAGTATTCATTATTAAATACAAATACTACAGTATATTCTTAATACAATAAAATCACTTATTTTATTTTTTCAACTTCAATTAATTATTTGTGTTTACATATAATATTTAATATATGAAACAACACATGTGACTATTAATGTATTTATTTCATATTTAAGACTTAAATATCAATTTCATAAAATTAAATTTTAATTCTAGCTGCTGATAAACTAATTAAAATATGGGGAGCTTATGATGGTAAATTTGAAAAAACCATATCTGGACATAAACTTGGTATAAGTGACATTGCTTGGTCTAGCGATAGTAGATTAATTGTCAGCGCTAGTGATGACAAAACACTAAAAATTTGGGAACTAAGTTCTGGAAAATGTTTAAAAACCCTTAAAGGGCATAGTAATTATGTTTTCTGCTGCAACTTTAATCCCCAAAGTAATTTGATTGTATCTGGAAGTTTTGATGAATCAGTTCGTATTTGGGATGTTAGAACAGGTGAGAAAATTACAAATATTTTTATGTACCATGAGGTAGATAAAACTCTAAATTGAATTCAATTCTATAAAAATGGCGCAGTAGATGAATAGTTAAATGTTTTGATGTGCTTTGGTAATTATATTTTTAACATCAACTTCATCTTCAAAAAGATCTACATGTCATAATAACTTATTTCAATTCTCAAAACATTTTCTCACATGAATATTGAGTTAGGAGTATGCAATTTTAAACATTTTTACCTTTTATTATAGGAAAATGTCTAAAGACTTTGCCAGCTCATTCAGATCCGGTATCAGCAGTGCATTTTAATCGAGATGGATCATTGATAGTTTCATCAAGCTATGATGGTTTGTGCAGAATATGGGATACAGCATCTGGTCAATGTTTGAAAACTTTAATTGATGATGATAATCCACCTGTTTCATTTGTTAAATTTTCACCAAATGGAAAATATATACTGGCTGCAACTCTTGATAACACATTAAAACTATGGGATTATTCAAAAGGAAAATGCCTCAAAACTTACACAGGACATAAAAATGAAAAATACTGCATATTTGCTAATTTTTCAGTTACAGGTGGCAAGGTAAGATATCTCTATTTTGTATTTAAATTTGTATGAGAGAATCGACCATGGTCATTACATATTTTTCTTAATAATACTTTAAAACTATTAATAAATTATCCTGTTAAATAAAAAACAAACTTAGGTATATTTTATGACCAGTCCCACAATGATTTGATAATAATGTAATAGTAATCGATAAGAACTTACTTTTTATATGTAGATCTCAATTATTTGTAATCATTGTCATTTTGCAGTATTTTTTCATTATTATTGCAATGTTTCTCAATTATCTATTTTTTTTTTAGTGGATAGTTTCTGGTTCTGAAGATAGTATGGTTTACATATGGAATCTGCAAAGTAAAGAGGTAGTGCAAAAATTACAAGGACACACGGATACTGTTCTCTGCACAGCTTGCCATCCAACAGAAAACATTATAGCTTCAGCAGCTCTTGAAAATGATAAAACAATCAAATTATGGAAAAGTGATACATAAGTAATAAAAACTAACTTTGGATTTTATTATAAAGATTGAATAATTTTCATTATATATAATCACCTGTAATTAGTTCATGTAATTACATTAATATTTTTATAAAAAATACTTTTCATATTTTTCTTAAACTAAGAAAGTGTTAGTTTTATATTAAGTTCTATGTAAACTGTTAATTATCCTGGAAATAAAATAAAATTTATATATTACAAATAACTTATGTATTCTTTATATGAAGAATTTTATGTTTCCAAAAATTTTTAGATTTTTTCAAAATTTCTATGCCTTCTGATTGATGAGGTCCTCCTTCAAGATAAAGGGGCGTGAATTCTCGATAAGCTATGCAGACTCTGCGCTCATGAATATGTTGTCTTAAAATACTGTGCTCCCAATCATATCTAGCTTGGCCGTAAAGAACAATAAGTGAACGTCTACAAAATTAATTATAAAAAGTTGTGGAAAAGAATGGTCAAAATATTATATTGTGACATTCTTCATAGTATACCTTGGCATAGGTAAATATACTAATGTATCCTCTGGTAGATTAATGCTCATTTTATCATTTTCATTTTTATATGTAGGAACTAGATTCAAATTATATTTACTATCACTGCCAGAGTACCTACAAAAATAAAATATATAGTTGCTTACATGATAACTAGTTTTGTATTTGCATTACAAACTATTGTCTATACAGAAAATACTTTTTTAAAACATTGAATTTAAAATAGTCATATAATCTTCCATTATTATCAAAATTTGTTATTCATAATATTTAATTATTTAAAGAATTATTGATTGAAGTAAGTCAATTAAAAAAAAATCATGCTCAATTATAACAAAATATACAGGCTAAAATTTTAAAATTATTCAAAAACATTAATAGAATCATTTATATTACTTGTTCATTGTGAGAACAGAATCGGAAAGACAATTCACTGTAACTACTCTTTCACCCCAAACCCAGCAATCATCTATATGAGGATCTATTGATGCCCCTCTTTGAGGGTCATATTCCAGAGAACATTGCTCTATGACCTGAAACCCCTCGAGAAGAGGTACTTTAGCTAGCTTTTCTTGCACAAACTCCGAGAATGCAGGAAAACCATCAAATTCTCCAACTCGTAATTTCTTTTTCTTGAAATTTGTTTTTGGACCAAAATTCTATATAAAAAACACAGTCAAATTAAGAAAACCAATAATAAATTAACAAATTAGATGGTTTTACTTAAATCTATTTAAAACTAGTTGAAGGTGCATTTAGCCTGAAGGCAAGTTGCATGAACTTCCCAAAATGTGTAAATAATATACTTAATCAATCCAATTTTAAAATAAGCAACTTGATCTGCCTTTAACAATATTTTTTTATTTTATAATTATTAAGAAATTTATATTTATCACTATTATTGGTTATAAGAAAAAATATTTTTTATTCTTTTTTATTATTTTTAATATATTAATCTGAATACATAAGTGGTTCTCATTGTGACAAAATGTATCGACGCATACGATTATTTTTCCAAAATGTAGAAAACTATGATAATTATTATAACTTGATTAAAGTAAAGAATTTCTTGGTCATTTCACGACCTTGGAGACGAAGTACATTTTAGAGGCTGTTGATTCAATGATAATTACGATGATAATTAAACTACTTGTAGTAAGACCATGATGTATATCGCCAAAAAAGTTCCATGAAAATCGGCCTAAATTTTTTTTTTAACAGTTCATTACAAGAAAACGGCTCGGTTGATTTTTTTTTAAATTTAATCAGCATCATTCCCAACTAATATCTTTCGAACAGTTTTTGATTTTTCAAAATCGGTTCGGTAGGATGAGCTTAAATGTGGACGAAAATTTAACACTTTTTTTCAACAGTTAATTACAAGAAAACGGCTCGGTAGATTTTCACCTAAAATTAATCAGCATCATTCCCAAATGATATCTTTCGAACAGTTTTTGATTTTTCAAAATCGATTCGGTAGGATGAGCTTAAATGTGGACGAAAATTTAACACTTTTTTTCAACAGTTAATTACAAGAAAACGGCTCGGTAGATTTCACCTAATTAATCAGCATATTCCCAAATGATATTTTCGAACAGTTTTGATTTTTCAAAATCGGTTCGGTAGGATGAGCTAAATGTGGACGAAAATTTAACACTTTTTTTCAACAGTTAATTACAAGAAAACGATCGGTAGATTTTCACCTAAATTAATCAGCATCATTCCCAACTAATATCTTTCGAACAGTTTTTGATTTTCAAAATCGGTTCGGTAGGATGAGCTTAAATGTGGACGAAAATTTAACACTTTTTTTCAACAGTTAATTACAAGAAAACGGCTCGGTAGATTTTCACCTAAATTAATCAGCATCATTCCCAACTAATATCTTTCGAACAGTTTTTGATTTTTCAAAATCGGTTCGGTAGGATGAGCTTAAATGTGGACGAAAATTTAATACTTTTTTTCAACAGTTAATTACAAGAAAAACGCTCGGTAGATTTTCACCTATAATTTAATCAGTACCAGTCCCAACTAATATCTTTCGAACAATTTTTGATTTTTTAAATCGGTTCGGTAGGATGAGCTTAAATGTGGACGAAAAGTTTAACACTTTTTTTCAAATGCAAAGAAGAACGGCTTGGCCGATCGTCACACAAAACTGACAAACGATAGTCCTCACCAAAATACATCAAAAGCTTTTAAATTTCTAAAATCGGCTCAGGCGTTTTGAGAAAACTCGATCAAAGGTCTAACTTTGACAAATGCCAAAAAAACAATACCAATTTTTGCAAACTTTGACGAATTTTTAAAGCTAAACGAGTTGTCGTAGGGCCGTAATATTTAGTATGATATAGAAGACTATGGTATCTACCGTCAAAAAAAAATTCATAAAAATCGTGAATTTTTTTTTTTTAAACTTTATTACAAGAAAACGGCCCGGCCGATCTTACCAAAAACTAATCAGCACGATTCCAACCAATATCTTTCGAACGATTTTGAATTTTTAAAATCGATTCAAACTGCTCAAAAACGTGGACGAAAGAGTTTTCACTTCTCTGCTATTACAAAGAAACGGTTTGGCCGATCGTCGCACAAACTGACAAACAATAGTCCTCATCGAGATACATCGAATGGCTTTTAAATTTTTGAAATCGGTCCAGCCGTTTTTGAGAAAACGGCGTTTTACGGCGAAAAATCTGTTGGTGCACACGCACACACACACACACACACACACACATACTTTTTCCAAATTTGGTCTCATTCGATTCAGAATGGCTTGAAACGTCGAGAAAACATAAATTAGCGAATCGGATTTTTTGATGAAAACATAAACTTCTCCTCGGGAAGTTAAAATAAGAGTAACATATCAAATTAACCCTTTGAGTGCTTAGGTAATTTTTGCATATAAATATGCATAAAGATTTTTGGATCTGGTTGGTGTTTCTGAAATATTTTTGAAGTAAAACTTCTTTAGGCGCGACTAGGGTGTAAATCCGTTCAAATGCAACGGAAGTTCGTTACGCCCGAACTGTTCGTCATTCGCTCTCGATGAGATTATTTCGATACAGGTCGATTGTGAGCCTTTGTGTATGTGAATAGTGATCTGTCGTTGTATGGGTACCGGCATCAACGTTGTATGAGTACCGATATCAACAAGCAAATCGGCATAGATAAATAAACATTTTAAAGTTGCATCGTAGTATAATCTTGATTCAATAAAAAAATGTCTGAATCAGAAGAATATTTTACCGTGTTTCTTGAAAATAATAAAACAAATTAATAATTTGGGCCGTGTATTAAACGTAAATTTATTGATAAGAAATTATTTCTATATTATTCGTAGTTTCTATAAATCTTTGAAGTTATTAAAATGGAAAATATTTTTTAGGCAAGACAGATATTACAGCTGCTCAAAGGATGAGATTATATCGCCTGCAAAAAAGTAAGAATAATACAAGCAGTCAATGAATGTATGTTCATTTTAATTACATGAAGTTCTTCAAACACAATTACATGATGAGTGAAGTTGCAAAAACAATATTTGTTTAGGCATTGTTTAACATAATCTACTGTGCGAACGAATATCATAGAATTTATTAATCAGCAATTACTTCATTTCTCTAATGAAGATTAATTTCTAAATGCTAATTAAAATGACAAACCGATCATGTCATATATGAAGTATGACTTTAATTGCGTTATTGTTATTTTTAATGCTATTATAAACATATAATTTATAATTTATCAATATATAAATGTGTATAATGGTTGACATTAATAATTGTGTGCATCACGAGTGTTACCATATTACTGATAAACATTATTCAAAATTGTTATATGTTTTTATTTTTACTTAAATGCCATCTTGTACAGTAGCAAATAGGTTTTACTTCAATCGCGTGTCAACTTTACACGCACTCTTTTTTTATGTCTCTAGCCACTCTTTCTCAATACTTTCGATTGTCTGACCAGTAAATTGTAATCAAGATATCTTTTATTCTTTTGATTACACGAAAACAATTGAGAATAAATCCATTCACAATTAATAATTTATATGTAATCAAATATAAAAATTTAACATTCTATTAATATTGCAAAAAAAATATACCTGTTTTCTGCGACCACTTTGTGATAACTCCCAAGGCATTTCATCAATTCCTTTCATTAATCTGCTTCTTCATTTTCACTTAAAAAGTCTAGCTGAAAATTGTATATGATTGAGCATGAATAAAAAAGTATATTGTCTGTGTAGTAAACATCGACAAATATTTCAAACTAAACTTTTGATGATACTCAGACCTAAGTAAAATTGAAATATAAAAATAAAATATTTATTTTAGTTCATATTATTATTAACCTGTATAAAGACACCGGGATATTCTATAGATTCTCCTACATGATTAGGATGATCTTTGTAAAGATATGGGTCAGATCCATACCAAGCTTTATCACATAAAGGACAATAAACAAATGTATTAGATGTCTGAAAATTTAGAAACATATAAATCAAAATAATAGGTTATATGAATTTATAAGTAAATATGCATACATCTTTTACTGGTACACAACTAATTTTTTTCACATCATATTTTCTTTCACAAATAAGACAAGTTCTGCATCCCTTGCAACCACAATCTCTAACTACATCTGACATTTTAGTTCTTAATTATACAAAAACCGAAAAAAAAGTTAAATATATTCGGTGCGGCACAAATTTACACATAAAAATATAACCTCATTTTCTCCCATGTTTGATTATTTTAGGTTAATTATAATTGAAATTTTGCATTTGAAATAAATATTACCACACTTTTGTTTTAAAATTGATTAGCAACTAAAGAATGTCAGAGTTAAAAGCAATAATTGCGAGTTCAGTATCTAACCGTGAATTATTATATTGTCTAGGCCGTGAATTATCAATTTCACACAACTATCAAATGTCACTTTTTAATTTAATTTAATACGCTTGAAGCAAGTTGCATGTGTTACATGAACTTTTCCGTTATGTTTAAATAACTAGTGGGGCGCATGGCATCGCGCCTTAAGGCAAATTGCTAGAACTTCCCATACCAAAAATTTTTTTTTTTTTAAAGATTAACATTTTTGAAAAAAATTTGCTCTGAAAAATTAGATTTTTGAGAAACTATAAACTTTTGACAAAAATTTACTTTTTTTGAAAAAAAAAGACTTTTTGAAGAAAAGTGTATTTTGAAATATTTTGGAAATTCTGAACTTTTTTTCAAAGCAATCGTACTGCTTTAACTGCATAGAACCCTTGCCTCTGGTTCCCACAGAAACCGCCGTTAGGCATTACTTCGTGGGGAGAGGATCTAGAATGAATAATTCTAACTGTTATATAATCAATGTTATAATTCATAAACATTATACTGGTCCACATCATCCCCTAGAGCACCAAATCGCGGGCACACAAAGAACACATGCTCAGCATCTTCGATTTCGCCCAAACAATATGGGCAATCCGGCGAGCTATCGTGCTTGAAGCGGTGTAGGTAGGCTCGAAAACAGCCGTGCCCCGATAGCATTTGCGTAGTATAATAATTTACTTCGCCGTGCTAGCCAGACTTTGATGTTAGGAATGAGACGATGCGTCCATCTGCCCTTTACTGCGACATCCCACAGTTGCTGCCATCGGTCAATGCTGTTCTGCGATCTCTAATCTTAACTTTTCAGGACTCAGTTGGACTCAGTTCTAATCTTAACTTTTCAGGATGTCTTCTATGGTAAATTGTCCGTCTTTCCTCTGCTAAGACTAAGAGAGGCACAGTTCCTGAAATGACGCACACTGCTTCCGCCGATATTGTGCGAAATGCGCAAGCAATTCTTATAGCACTGAGACGATAAAAGGGCTCTACCATTCTCCTCGATTTTTGAGATTTAAGAGCATCAGCCCATATGGAGATACTATATGTCAGCACAGAAGTAACAATAACTGACGATAGTAATATCCTTCTGGTTTGTTTAGGACCTCCAATGTTAGGCATCAGTCGAGCAAGTTTTGTCCTAACTATTGACGCCTTAGCACTAACGTGTTCCACTTGTTGATTGAAATTCAAACGAGCATCAAGCATTACGCCAAGGTAACAGATGTGAGGTTTTGACGTGATCTCAAGATTTCCTATCTTTAGTTTGATGGTCTCTATTGTTTTTCTACTAGTGATAAGAACAGCTTCACTTTTTTGTTGTGCTAATTGGAGATTCATTGTTCCCATCCATTAAATTTTCTAAATGTAATATCGAATAGCCTTACGATGTCATCAATTTGTTTGGAGACAACTACTATGGCAACATCGTCTGCATATGCTACTAGTTTCACACATTCTGGAATCTCTAGTCTCAATAGGCCCTCATACATAATATTACACAGCAAAGGGCCTAGAACAGAGCCCTGCGGCACACCTCCTGTTATATTATATTCTTCTGTACCATCGCGTGAATCGTACATTAGAATTCTGTCTGTAAAGTAGCTTGCGACTATATTGCAGAGGTATGCTGGCACGTTGTTGTCACGGAGTGCATTCATAATGCAATTCCAGTTTGCAGAATTTAAAGCATTTTTTATATCCATAGTAGCTACAAGGCAGTACTTTTTCGCACCCCCTTTCCATCTGGTTCCAGCAATTGCCTCCTTGGCGGTATTAACTACCAAGTTTATAGCATCGATAGTTGATCGCCCTTTGCGAAAACCATACTGATTGTCTGCTAGGATTGGGTCAACTATTGCATCTATTCTTTGGTGAATTATTCTTTCAAAAATTTTACCCGCTGTATCCAGCATGCATATTGGACGGTAGGATGATGGTTCATCTGGTGGTTTTTTTCCTTTGGGAATAAGCACTAATCTTTGCTGTTTCCATTTAACTGCATAGAGACTGCATAGAAATGTCAAAACGCGTAAGCGCCGCGTCGCCGTCTATAACGAATAAACATTGGTACGGAACCCATAGGAATGCAAACAAAATTTATACTTATTGTTAAAATCTCTATAAAATATCTGATAATTTGATGTGCATATGTGCATTTGATGTCTAATGATCATTTTTGACCGCTAAATGGCATTTTATTTACTTTTTTCATTAGATCTCTGAAACCGTTAGAACTGCCTTTATGAAAATTTGATCAGTTTTTCATCTTGTCAATACAAGTAAAATGTTTTTAGAATTATTAAAATCGGACGCTCCGTTCTCTTAAAAACAGAGTTACCGTTTTTGGCACTTTTTGCCCCGTATCTTCGGAACGGCTAGACCTGCCTTTGCCAAAAACTAATCAGCATGTCTCCTTATCAATATAAATCGAATGTTTTTCGAATTATTTAAATCGGTTGATCTGTGTTCCCGAAATCGTCGACGAAAATTTGTATCCGCACACACATACAAACACGCACGCACACACACACATACATACACACATACATCCATTTTTTCTAAGGTATGCCCAAATATTCAGAAACCTCTGAAACGTAAAGATATATAAACATTTTCATTTTCTATTTTTTTGCGATTACTATAACTTGCCCTACGGGAAGTTAATAAGCATAATAAGCAAATCGTCTCGCGTGAGTGAAGGGGTCTAGTAAGATATCACTTGTATTTATTTTCTACCTAAACTTAAAAAAAAATCCAAAATGTTTCATAACTAGTGGTGTATAGCATCGTGCCTTAAAGGAAATTACTTTCCATGCCATAATGAAATATTCCAGGAATATTAAATGTTTTCAAATAGATTATTATAAATAATGTAAATTCCATTATTCTTATCTTGTGAAAAGTAAATAAGTAAAACTGAATCAATCGGATTTAAAATGAAGAACATTGTCCAATATTTCTAAGTACATATCATATAAACTGAATTGCAAAATTAAAATTATTTATTCGAAGTATTTAAGTGATGTTTAGAACTTTGGCTAGAATTAAAAGGATTATAACTTTAGTTATAATTAGAATTGCATTGCATTGATTTTTTGATATTCAATTTTTTTTGAAAATTTTTTGAAAAGTGAGAAAAAAATTCTTTCCCCAAAAGCAATCGTTTCGTCAACACAAGCAGAAAGTTTTTAAATCATTCAAATCAGATGCTTGGTTCTCCCAAAAACTGCCATTTTTTGCATATTTAGCTCTATTTCTCCGAAACGTCTGAACCTGCCTTTGCCAAAATCTAATCACCACTTCTCGCCATCATTACGAATAGAATGTTTTTCTATCATTCAAATCGGTTGATCGATTTAGGACTTTTTGCTCTGTATCACCGAAACCGCTGGACCTGCCTTCGCCATAAACTAATCAGCGCGTCTCCTCATCAATAGGAATCGAATGTTTTTGAACCATTCAAATCGGTTAATCCATACGCCCGAAATCGTCGACGAAAATTTGTTTCCACACACCCACAAACACATCGATTTTTTCTGAGGTATGCCAAAATGTTCAGAAACCTCTGAAACATAAAGATATGTAAAAATTTTCCTTTTCGATTTTTGGCCCAACACTATAACTTAGCCTACGGGAAGTTAGAAAAATCCAAAAATACACCTGATGTTGAGTGTTGAAGGTGGGTAGGGGGTAATTTTAAACATCAGAACGTATCACCAAGGGAAAGGAGGGGTCTAAAAATCCTTAAAAATCGGTCACATGATCAATGGACGCCCCACAATCACCACGATATCCAACTAATATTTATCAAACAGTTAATACATTTTTTAAATCGGTTCACAGCAGTCTTTTCGGCTGAAACGTGGCAAAAAATTTTGTACTTACTTGTTTATTGTAAAGAAACGGCTAGGCCGAACAACGTAAAAAACGCTCGTATCTCGAACTTTATACTCGAGTATATAAGAATAAAGATCCCTATCGAGTTTCATAAGATTTTACAAAACTCTTTGTAAAAGAGTCGAAGAGACTGACTTAATTTATTGAATTAAAATCGTTTTTTCACTTCCTTATGGTAAGTAATCGTCCAAAAATTAAAAATAAAATGTTTTGCATCCTTTTTACGTTTCACGGGTTTCTGAACATTCTGGCATACCTTATAAAACAAGGATCTATGTATGGGTGTGTGTTTGTGTGTGCCTGCGTATGTATGGACACAATTTTTCGTTCACGATTTCGGGCGCACGGATCAACCAATTCGAATGACTCACAAAAGATTCGATTCTTATTGATAGAGAGATATGCTGATTAGTTTTTTGCAAGGACAGGTCTAGCCGTTTTGGCGATACGGAGCAAAAAATAAAGAGAATGGGAATTCAGTTTGTCAGAGAGATTTTATTTTCAAATTTTCTTCCAAAAATTTTTTTTTAAAATGTCGAAAATAATTCAGTTTTAATTTTAATTCTAGCTAAAATTTTAAAGCTCACATATATACTTTGAATAAATAATTTGAACTTTGCAATTCAGTATATATAATTCTTAGAAATATAGGCAACAAAATATCTTTCATTCGTATAAGGGCTTTCATTCTAACTCCGTTTGATTAAATTTTGTTTTTACATAACATCGTCATGAAATTTCTAAGCTCTTATATTTTATCTATAAAAAACTAATAATGCCAGTTGCAGTATTTATGATAATTTATTTGAAAACACTTAAAATACCTTGAATTTTCCAAGAAGTTCCAGCAATTTGCCTTAAGGCACGATGCCATGCACCACTAGCTGTAATTAAATTTATATAAGTTTAATAACATATGTTATGTTATTATTATGCAATATATAGCATATCAAATAACATTTGACCTTTTTATCTAACATCTATTCTGTACGGAATGTAACGAAATATTATTTTTGGCGTATTTGCTGTCAAAATATTCAAGTTATTATACGGTTTTAATACATTTTTGAAAATATAAAGATATTAAAAAAATTACATAAAAACAAAAGTAAAAATTTTAATAAAGCGTTTAAATTATGGATAAAAAAGTATGTGGTGAGGAAGGAAGGCTTTGGGGTGGACGCTTTTCCACAGGACCGGCAGAATGCTTGGAGTCTCTAAATCGCTCTTTGAGTATTGATAAAAGACTCTACAAAGAAGATATTAAAGGAAGTATTGCGTACGCAACTGCTTTAAAAAAGGCCAATATAATAACACAGGAAGAAGAAACTATTTTAAAAAAAGGATTAAATTTGGTAAATCTCTTATTGAATTATACAATTGACTGAAGGTAAAAACAAATATGCCAGTAGGGTTTAATTGAATCTATTAGAACAAATTTCTTTTAGTTGCGCTGAACATCAGTATCATATAGTTATATCAACTCGACCGATTTTTTATAGTTAAACTTTATATAATTGAGTTCATAGTCAAATGAAATAAACATTATTGATAATTGTTAGCGCTCTGTAATTAACTTGAGGGTAAGTTATGGTAAACGCAAAAAAATCTAAAATGAGAATTTTTACATATCTCTCAGATTTCAAAGGATTCTGAACATTTTGGCACACTTTAGAAAATATGGATGTATATGTGTGTGTGGGCGCATGTGTGTGTGTGGATACAAATTAACACGGATTAACCGATTTGAACAATTCAAAAAAAAACATTCGATTCCTACTGATAAGGAGATGTGCTGATTAGATTTTGGCAAAGACAGAGGTCTAGCCGTTTCGGAGATACGCGGCAAAAAGTGCCAAAAATGGTATTTCAGTTTTTGAGATAGTGGAGCGTCCGATTTAAATACATAATACGAAAAACATGTTACTTGTATTGACAAAATGAGCATCTGGTGAAGCGTTCCCGGAGATCCAATAAAAAAAGTGAAAAATAATGCCATTTGGCGGTCAAACCTGAACATTAGACATATGTACATTGTATTATCAGTTATTTTATGAAGATTATAATAATAAGGACAAATTTTGTGTACATTCATATGGGTGCTGTACCAATGTTCACACGTTAGACTACGCGGCGCTTTCGCGCTTTGATATTTGGACTCCAAATCTGCTATGCAGAGCGATTGTTTAAGAAAATGTTCAAAACTTTCAAAATAAATCAATCAAAATGCCATCAAATAGCAATCAAATCAAAATATAAAAAAATCAAATTTTTCTTTATCAAGTTTTTTTTAATAATTTAGTTTTCGGTTCGGGAAGTTCCAACAATTTGCCTTAAGGCATGATGCCATGCATCACTAGTTAAAAATAGTATTGTTAAAGGCCGCGATGAAAGCTTAACCCTTTGCACTCGGATACCGTCGCTCCGACGCCAAAATTCATATAAATCTCGGAATTCGCAAGTGGAAAGGGTTAATAATGAAAAAATATTGCAAAATTAGTATTTCATTACTTTGATTTGACTAAACTTTATGCAATATATCAGAGTATTATATAAGAGAGGTGTTTTGAAAACAGTGTTAGCCTATTTTATAAACAATTCAGAGCGCACTTGAAATTTTGATAGTAAAAAGTATTTTTACATATATCTTAATTTTACCAATTAAGTTGAGAAATTATTGATAATTAAATTAACAATGTGATTAAACAGACGCTACAAGAATGGGAGAATGGAAAAATATCGTTTTTGAAATCAGATGAAGATGTTCATACAGTGAACGAAAGGAGAGTAAAGGAATTAATCGGTAATTATGAAATATTTAAAAAAAAATGTTTATTAGAGATAAATCAGAGCTTTATAAAAGCTAGCACGTTGAATAAATCTATAATAAAAAATATTTGATTTCTTTTATGAATTCTAAAACAGTATTTCCTAGGCTCTTTCTCACTTAATCTATACATATTTACCCATTTCAATAATAATAGTTGATTTATGCTCCCATACATACATTTTTGCCTTATGACAATTATTTTGTACCATAAAAAATATAAATATATTTATATTTTCCCATTTTATGTTCCCATGGAAGCATAAATCAACTATTATGATTTATAAACTTACTATAATAAGTTTGATTTAATATTAATATCAAATATATTCTCTTTTCGGCAGATATTTAGCATTGCATTTAAGAAATAAACCTATCAAAAAGTTGTAGTTATATCGAACTTTAGTACATATTTTTCATCCAGAATATTTACATATTTTGTTTAAACTCATTTTCAAGTATTATTTCATTATATATTGTTTAGAAATTTCATTATGTGGGTACCAAAGACATAAATATACATTAATTAAGACATAAATATACATTAAAGACATAAATATATATTATATTACAAATGACCATTAGAAAATAAATATAAATATAAATTATAAATTATATAGGGTCAGAAATTGGAGGAAAATTGCACACAGGACGAAGCCGAAACGATCAAGTTGTAACAGATATGAAATTATGGATGTTGGAAAATATATCAGAATTACAAAAAACTATTACAGTTTTTGTTCAGGTATTTTACTTCATTTTTTTAATATTAGGATAAATCTCTATGATGTTTGATATGAATACAATACTTAATACAATTCATGAGTTCAGATATTTTACTCATCATTAACTTTACTGTTTAACAATATTTAACCACAGAAATATGCGTGGCCTAAAATATTAAACCGAAGTTATAAGTTCTAAAAGACACCACAACTTTTTAAAGTTGAATTTAATGCAAGAACCAAATAAAAATATAGTAAAGCATTAAATATTTCCCATGCCAAGGTATCTCTATCTCATATCTATTATGCATTTCAATATATCTTTAGCACTATATTTCAATCTCAAGACAATTTTTTTTTCAAATTATTTAAAATAAATTAAATTGCGTTATGAAGCAATTATAAGATTTCCAAAAAAAATCTATTATATTTTTTATAAAATATATATATATATATATATATATATAGTACGTTTTATAATATTCAGGCACTCCAGAAAAAATCTACTGAATGTATAGATGTACTCATGCCAGGTTACACTCATTTGCAAAGAGGACAACCGGTTAGATTTAGTCATTGGCTTTTGAGGTAATATTTATTTTATTCTCTATTTTATTTACTACTGTCCAGTTAAGAACATTTAGTAAATTGTGAAATTTACAATTGTCAGCCGTAAAGGGGCAATAGTTGTTATAATATTAACAATATTTTAATGATAATAATAATAACTATGGTAATATATGAAACATGAACCTTTAAAGGCACTATTTTAATGAATCTGTATTATCGAATAATCAAGAGTTAATATTGAATCAAACTAATAATTATAGTAATTTGTAATTTCAATTCATTAAAAATATAGATTATTTGTGACTATTTCTAAATCATCAGCAACTGAGGTGATGAACAAAATGTTAATTAATGTTTAATACAAACGTTTTTAACATACTATCATTCTTTATGAAATTTTCATTCCTAACATAAAATAAGTAAAGTTTCTAAAAATAGCTATTTGCATACAGAATGCATACAGTTATTACACGAAGACTTGAGTTATGAAATACATATAAAAACATACGTAAATAGAAATTCAAAATTAATATTGCCAATAATAATAAGTAGAATTATCTGAACATCTTCTAAAAATCAAATAAATTCAACTTAAGATACAGTAATCTTATTTCACTTAGGTTAGGTAAATGAAATGTAAATATTTAAACTAAATTCAAGAAAAAAATTTAAGCTCACTAACATAAAGTAATTATTTGTTAGTGCTAAAACAAGAAAACATTCATATTTTTCATTTCCTACCAGTGCGGTTGTTTAGACTACTTTTTAATTAAAATCATTCGAAAGCCTATTGCTTTACCTAAAATATTAGAAACAGAATTAAATCTAGATCATAGAAAATATTTAAGTACACAATTACTTTTTGAATGAGAACACAGGTCCACAGAGTAAAAAAAGTTATCTCTATTGGCTAACTGTGCGTCAGATGTTTTCCAGGAAACGACTAAAATTATAAGGTTTTAAGTATCATGCATAAGAATTACTAGATCGAAGATTTTGTCGTTTTTCCTGATTTCCATTTCAATTTTTTGCTATTTGAACCCCCAATTTTGACTTTAGATTCGTGTTCAGCAGTAAAAACTACACTAGAAAACATGCCGCAAACCCAAACCAGACATTTTTTTTTTGAAGTAAAACTTCTTTAGGCGCGACTATGGAGTAAATCTGTACAAACGCAACGAAAATAGCGTTACGCCCGAACAGTTCGTCATTCGCTCTCGATGAAATCATTTCTATACTGTTCGATTGTGATTAGACGTCGTGTCGTGTGAATAGAGATCTGTCGTTGTATGCGTACCGGCATCAATAAGGAAATTAAGTCTTGATTGCTAGTTACAATGGCAAAACCGATCATGTCATATTTGAAGTATGACTTTAATTACATTATTGTTTTCAATTATTATAAATATTTTTAATGCTATTATAAATATATAATTTGTAAATTATTATAATATAAATATGTATAGTGGTTGACATTTATAAATGTGTGCATCACAAGTGTTACCATATTACTAATGAACAAATTTCAAAATTGTTATATGATGTATTTATTTTTAACGTAAATGCCATCTCGTACAATAGCAAAATAGTTTTACTTCAATCTCGTGTGAACCTTACGCGCACTCTTTTTTTAATTTGTGGACTTGTGTAATTGAAGCATTTAGATATAAATAAGTCACTAAGTCACCTTTATTAATCAGCGTCATTTATAGATCGTAATTAGTTACCTAGAAGTGTAGTTTGCTCGAACTTTTAGCCATGCTTGGCCGTTGGTATCCGACCATCAACGACTGCGAGATTTGCGGAAGCGCGTGGCGATGTGTCCGTTAGGATGTGGCGCATTGGCGGGAAATCCTCTCAAAGTGGATAGGAAAGCTCTGGCTGAAGATCTTGGATTTGACTCCGGCCCGACGATGAATAGCATGCATACCGTATCCGATCGGGACTTTGTCGGTAGAGTATTAAAATTTAGAAATACAGCATGTCCGACTTGCTCGCCAGAGATCCTAGGAATAGATACCGAAGTTAAGGAGGAAGCCTGCTTTAGAGGCTTCAAAAAATCGCTTTTTTGAGGAATTTTTAGGGAAGGAAATAAATATTTAATTCAAACGAAACTTTCACGTTTTATTGTAATATATTTCAACATTCTTCTCAATTTTTTTTTTCCTTGAAATATATGCTATAATATACCGGATACAAGCATTTTTGCTTATGCGCCACGAGTGTGCAGGTATCATTTGGCGGGAAAGATGTAGGTCACAATTTCCATCCGAAACAAAACAATCAAAGCAAATATATATGAGAAATTGACCAATTTTTCGCAACTTGAAATAAAAATCATGTTTTTGATACAAAATTTCACTTTAGATTGTTTAAAAACTGGGTTAATTATAAATATTCAGTTTTTTAGGTTAAACTAGAATACAATTTAATCGAATAGTTTAGATGGGACGTTTAGTTTGTTTCCTATCTTTCCCGTCAATTAGGAAGATTCGAAAAAAATAAAAACCGGGAAATCACGCGTAGTCCAGTCATTTGGTGCAAAAAAGGCTGTTGCCGGTATAAGATCTAGAAATAAAATAAATCAAATATTTTTCTGTTTTTTTGCTGATTTTTTAACACTTCAAGCTACTTACTTATAGCTACTTCGCCATTGAAGTGTTAAAAAAACAGCAAAAAAACAGAAAAATATTTGAATCATTTTATTTCTAGATCTTATTCGCTTAATTTAACATTGAAAATATTTATTTATTAGAGAGAATGTGGTCAGGTTCAAAGTGCTGTCACATATGGAGAGATTTGATACTACGGCGAGAGCAGCAAAAACTTTGAGGCGGCCGTACTCTCAAACTATCAATTTTACAAAAAACGGTTTTCTAAAAAATTGTAGGAAATTTTATCTAGTTTAATTCGTACATAGAAACTTTTATCGTAGAATCAGCCAGGAAAGAGATATTTTAAAAAAGCTGTTGTTTCACGCCATTTTTCCAATATGGCGGCAACTTGCCGTTCAAATTTGAGGTGGCAAAGTTGATTTTCGTAAAGAGCACCTCGAAGTCCATAAGATTACCAATTTTCAGAATTCCCGGAGTACTGTACCGGCAAAACGAGCAAATGACTAGACTAGCGTCGAAGTTTTCGTTCCGTACATGCTTGACGCTTGTTCACTATTTCTTCAATAATTCCGAAAGTAATTTGAATTTGTTTCTGAAATTTTAGGGATTTATTCTTAACTAATTTTGAAAGACATTTTGCCGATTTTTTTAAGCCTCTAAAACAGGCTTCCTCCTTAAGTTAAGTTAGTGCTGACTATATGTTGTTAAAAAGAGGTCAATAAAAATAATGTAAAAAATGTGAATATGCAATGTCTTTTTCTTCACAAACTTTAAAACTCTTTTTTATGAAACACTTTCTAAAAATTAAATTGTACATCACCTGCACTAAAATACCCCGAGCTGTCCTAATCAAATACCTAATAACTCCTGAAATGTAAAAAATATTTATAAATGAAGTTCAGAGGGGGAATATATATATATATATATATATATATATAATATAATTTTTTTCCATGCTCTTTTCATACGAAGTTTGATTGCGCTCTATCTAAACGTTAATATTAAGAGTTAAAACTTTCAGAGAATTGTTTTTTATCAATTTGGAACCATTTGAGCCCCTGGGAACAAGGAAATTCGAAAATGACCATTTTAAGAACCACCCTAATATATATATATATATATATATATATATATATATTAATTTGGAAATATGAACAAACAACACTCTTTTTGCACTAATTTATTAAATAATAATTTTCACAAACGTTTCGAGACTAGGTTTGTCTCATCATCAGTGTGTTATAATTAAAAATTTTTTTAAAATATGGAAATCTAAATTAGCATGTTGTGTTTTTCATTACACGTCGTTCATATATATATATATATATATATATATATATATATATATGATTTAGTAGTTAATTTTGATGTTGAAATATATGAGTGAGTTCTTGAGGGCGATACATCAAACAAAGATTGATACATGCCTCGGTACTCGCAAAGTACAGAAGTCGTGGCAGAAATTACATAATTCTACTTACATTTTTGTTCAAATAAAACTATCATTTTTCTGTTTACATCATACAAAAAATTATAAAAAATGCATAGTGTTGACAAGTTAGTTGTATAAATGTTAGTGCCAATCTCTAGTGTTGTGTACACTTCTCTAGATGTAACCAACCAACGTAATATCCACTGATGATGACATTAAATTGAATGTCGAAACGTTTGGAATTAAAGATTATTTTATAAATCTTTGGCTTTTCTTTGTTTGATGTATCGCCCTCAAGAACTCACTCATATATATATATATATATATATATATATATATATATTAACAAAGTCTAATAATCGGGCATAACATCAATAAAAAACATGATGTTATGCCCGATTATTAGACTTTGTTAATACATATGTCAACATCAAATTCAGAATCATACAAAATATATATATATATATATATATATATATATATATATATATATATATATATTGAATGATAGAGTCTTGGATTTGTGTATATTTTGTAGAGTTTCGAACAAGAATCCAAAAATAATACAAAATAAAAAAACAAGAAAAGTTTTTAATAAACAATTTCTTTATTTAATTATTTGTTTACTGTCAACGTTTCGGAACTAGGTACGTTCCATCTTCAGGACATCTGTCAAGAAACATGATCTTGATAAGATTTAAGCAAACAATATGTTTAAGAATAGAAATAGATTTTTCTTAAATAATAAATTAATTGTAACAAATAATAATGTACAGAAATATGATAATATGATCAAAATGAAAATGATAAAAATAAATGAGTGGATTATCAGAACAGGATATTAAAAATGATAGAAATTTTTTGAAAGTTATGGAAAAATTTTTAAGAAAGGATTAATGATAAAATTGAATTAATTACCTGTATTTGAATATACGTTAGCACTTTTCACTAAACAAGAATTTTTGACAAAAAATGAATTTGTGAGTTATTTTTTCCGCCGAATAGTTAACTTTTGTAAATCAAAATTACTAAAAGTGTTATCTTTTTTTAAAATTATTATTTGAAAACAAATAATATTGTATTCGAAGTTATACTATTGGCTTTTGGAAGCGAACTAAACTGTATTTGATGGATTCATATGTAACACGTGTAAACACTTGAAACGAGAACTGTGAGATTGTATGTGTGTGTTTTTTTCATGTTAGGGTGTAAATACTTAAATTATTGAACTTAAAATGAAGTCGATATTAATTGTTTGTCAAAAAGTGTAAAAAATTTAAATATGAATCATGTAATAGGTTGTGATCTGATCTAATGTTGACACTGTTAGAAACATTTATGAGAATGAGACAACTCTCCGCAAATAACCTTCTAAAGATGCAACTTTCATGATATAAAATCTTTGGAGTGAAATTAAATGAATGGGCGTTTTCTATAGAGTGTTGTACTAGGGTACTTTTGAAATTTTTTTGTTATGGTGGACCACACTTAGTTCATGTTGTCTCATTCTCTT